AAATTTTTATTACCAAAAATAAATGTTTTTAAACTAGAATTTTTATTTTTAATTTTTAAATTTATTTTTTTATAAATATTTTAGACTTGAAAAACATTAAAAATTTTAATTTAATCATGAATTTTTCAAAATTTTCGCCTCCGGCGGTAAAAAAGAAAGAAATTTGGCTATTGGCCTTCCAAATTTTTCAAAATTTTCGCCTCCGGCGGTAAAAAAGGAAGAAATCTGACTTAAAGACCTCCAAACTTCTCAAAATTTTCGCCTGTGGCGCAGAAAGGGATTTGATGGAAAATAGAGGCGTGTCGGGTTTTGAAAAATACACAAGTCTGGTTTCGGGTTGTAAAAATACCGGGTTTCGGTTTAACTGACCAATCCTTGGAAGAAATATTGTTCTTGGACATAAAAATGCCCAAAATTTCGCCTGCGGCGCAGGAAATGGATGAAATAGGTGGATTTATGGCTTCAAAACCTTCCAAGAATCGAAAATTATCGTATACGGCCCTAAAAATTAAGAACTATATGCAGTTGACCCTAAAAATTTGCAAAAATCTACGATTTTTTGCTTTTTTCTCAAGTACGAGAAAGTACGAGGTACGAGTACGAGGCCAAAAATGGGGCTTGTACGAGTACGAGTACGAGAAAAAAAATTAGGCAAGTACGAGTACGAGTACGAGGAAAAAATAAAGCATGTACGAAAGTACGAGTACGAGTACGAGCAATTTTCAAAATTCCAATCACTGCTAATAAGTCTCCCGGAACAGTTAATTTTCAAAAGAATAATTAAATATACTAAAATTATAAAATTAAATTTAATAATCTGAAATTTAGAAAATTAAAGCTGCTTTTTTGATGCAAACCCGTACCCTCTTAAAACTCAAATCCCTCTTAAACACCAACGGAAAATATCGATCCTTTAAATTCTTTTAATCTTTCCAGGACTCTAATATACTATTTATTCCCGTATATTTCAAACTATAGTTGACCGGCATCGGGATCGGGCGGGATTATCCTGTTTTTTTGTATTCCATTCCTATATGCTTGATCTCGAGACATTCAAGATCCAGCATAATTCACAGAAATGGTCCAATATCTATCTTAATCCCGATAAAATATTATTATCGATTTTTTACCCGGAGCTCGGAACCACGCCCCGAAATTTCTGCGGTCGATTAACGGAAAATTACATTTGATCATTTGGATAATTTGACCTCATGGGTTCTGGGTCATTTGATCTCCAGGGTCATCACCTTCTGGTTTGATCCCAAAATGGGTATCTTTTGTTAAGTTTCGACTTTCTTTAAATATTATTCGATTGTAAAAAAACTTTTTTCAAGACACTAAGCACAACTTGGAAACATTCAACAATTTATTTTACCTAAAAAATTTGAAGAAACGAATGGCTTCTTCAACTGAGACAGACGAGGATACTGTACAATTAATTGAAGAGGGATATAAAAAACTTGTGGAAAATAATAATTTTAATTCTCTCTTAAAAAAATATTTTACTGAAAATTTAAAAGAAAAATTAAAATATAAAAAGACAAAACTTGGGGCAACTTTATTTGATGTTATTCGTTCTGGTAAAAAGTGGGGGACGCGGGAGGGATATTGGTCATACTAATTCTAGGAATTAACTTGGTTGATTGGTACACACGAGGGTTGTCCCTGGTTGAGAAAAAAGTCGGGTCGGGTTTCGGGTCTAAAAAAGTCCGGGTTTTGTGCAACGGGTTTTTGGGTAACCGTTGACATCCCTTGCTTGAGGCTTCGAAAAACCGGATATCCAGAAATTTTAGGCTCCTATATTGGATCCGGAAACTAAAATATTTTCCAGGATCTTAACGCTAGATATCGTTTAAAATATTTAACAAAATTTTTAAAAAATAAACTAGGCTTAATTTTGCCTAATTTCATCGGAGCGTATAGCAGATTCGTTTAACTTTTTTATTTAACATTTAGGTGTTGCTAATCCAGATTCTGGTATTGGTGTTTACGCACCTGATCAAGAATCATATCATAAATTTGCCGAGTTGTTCAATCCAATTATTGACGATTATCATGAAGGTTTTGGACCAGAAGCAGTACATCCACCGACAGATTTTGGAGAAAACAACATTTCAGGTAATTACCACATATATCATTTAGGTAACTTCATCACTAGGGACAGCCAAAACATGCAAATGCATGTTTTGTATGCGGATATGCCTTGAAGTGGGAAGCCCAAAAATGGTGTTTTTACATAGGTACGAGCACTTTAGGACCCGGTTCTTAATGCATATATTTGCATATTTCGACCATTTCGTGCATATTTGCATATTTGTGCATATTTTGGCAAAATTTGCATATTTTGGTCCATATTTAGGCATTTTTTGTAAAATTTTGCCAAAAATTGACCAAAATTTTGAAATTTTTTGGTCAAAAAAATTTTTTTATTAAAATTTTTTGAAAAAATATTTTCGAAAATTTTTTGGCGAAAATTTTTTTCCCGAAAATTTTTGCAGAAATTTTAAATATATTAAATCCTTTAGGAGTGTTCATAAAATGTAAAATTAAAGGCTAAATTAGTGTTTTTAAATTAAAATATTTATTTTTAAAGCATATTTTAACTATTTTTTGGTGCATATTTCACTGCATATTTTGGCAAATTTTGCATATTTTGATGCATATTTTGTGCTTTTTCGGTGCATATATATGCGCATATTTGGCAATTTTCCGTGCATATTCTGGCTGTCCCTATTCATCACATAGTGGCTATCTAATTAAAAAGCCACCCAAATATAAAAAAAATTATCTAATATCAGTGTTGTGTCCGCACTTGCAGAAAGAACATAAATGAAAATAAATAACCCAACATCGGGTTGGATGGTGGCACAGTCGGTTGTGCTTCGGTCTGGGCTCATTCCTTGATGGTTCAATTCCATCTCCCATCCACAATTTTTCCACAGCATGAACATCGGACACTTCAATGGCGCGGTCGCACAGGCCAGGCTTAGCCTGAGGAAATTTCAGCGAACCTTACATGCTGTGATGATCTGACATTCTGTCACTGTGGAGAGAAGAAGGAGAAGACCCTGTGAGAAATTAAAATGCCTGAGTTGTGATAGGCTAGCCGGTGGTGTGAAGGCTATATAAATAAAAATGCGTAAGACGCCGATGATGCGCAGCGAGTAAAAAATAAAATGCCACAAATGGGTTTCTGTGTGTTCTCTCCAAAAATCGAAACAGATGACAGTTATCGAAGACAAGCAACAAGCGAGGACGCTTGGTTTCGCAAGGCGGAAGGATTGTTGTGTCCGCACTTGCAGAAAGAACATAAATGAAAATAAATAACCCAACATCGGGTTGGATGGTGGCACAGTCGGTTGTGCTTCGGTATGGGCTCATTCCTTGATGGTTCAATTCCATCTCCCATCCACAATTTTTCCACAGCATGAACATCGGACACTTCAATCAGTAGTGTGTGAAAGTAAAATTTGACAGTTTTAGTGAATTGTCTGATCGGTGAATTGTCCATTCGGGTTAATTAACATACAATAAATTGTCCATTCGGTGAATTATCTTTCGGCCAATCAGTAAATTGTACATAATGTGAGTTGTCCATTCCGTGAATTATCCTTCGGTTCGTTCGGTTAATTGTCTATACGGTTAATTTTCAATATTGTAAAATAATCCAAATTAAAAAACTATTTAGAATTCAAAGATTTGGATCCAGAAGGCAAATATGTAATTTCTACTCGAATTAGATGTGCTCGAACATTAAAAGAATATCCATTTAATCCATTAATGTCATTAAATGATTATGCTTCAATAGAAACAAAAATGAAAAAAATTTTTAAAAAATTAAAAAAATCAAACAATTAAAAGGAATATATTATTCACTGAATAAATTAAATAAAAAAACAAAAAATAAATTAATTAAAAAACATTTTTTATTTAAAGAAGGGGACAGATTTTTAAATGAAGCCAAAGCTACAAATTATTGGCCTGTTGGAAGGGGAATTTATTTGAATTTTAAAAAAACTTTTTTGGTTTGGGTAAATGAAGAAGACCATTTACGCTTAATTTCTATGGAAAAAGGTGGAAATGTTGGAAAAGTTTTTGAAAGATTAATTTTGGGAGTCAAAATGATTGAAGAAAAGGTAGGCGAACATTTGGAGGGTTTTTTGGAGGGGGGGCAAGTTTTAGGTATGTAGTTGTTAAATGGAGTGAGAAATAGGATAAATTTAAAAGCATTTTTTTGCCCGAAGTGGCATTTTTAGCAAAAAGTACCTCATTTTTTAGTCATTTTTAAGGAAAAGTAGTACCTTGCTAGAAAATTCATAACTCTCAAATAAAACGGTCAAAATTTTTTATTTTTTTGGTAAACCATAGGCAACATTCCATTTTATATTTTGGCAAACAAGTAAAATTTTTATCTCCATTTTAAAAAAAAGTTATAAATTTTTTTCCAAATAGGGGGAATGAGAAGCGGGTAGCGACGCCAAAACCTTTGCCTAGGGTCAAGTCGGAAATGGCACGTAACAAGCGTTCTTAATTTTAATTTAGGCCTTAATATATCTTTAAAAATCTTATCGACAAAGAAATAAAAATGTTCTTCTTTGGGAATCAAATCGGATCCTTAATATGTATATATCTGGCTCTTGTTCAGTTTATACATACAATCGCACCTTTATATACGTCCATTCAAAAGGTCATCCGTCCAATTGAATTTCATGCTTTATTCAATGCCGATAAGTACCCGGTTGTGCACGTTAGTACTTAAAACTGTCTGAACAGAAAGTTCTGCTCAACATCTTGTATATAGTACACACAAGCGTTACGTTTCTTTCTAACATGTAGAACATGGTTCTTATTTTCACAGAATGGACGCATAAAAACGTGATTCGACGTATATAGATCTGTTTGGTCGGATAAACTTGACAAGACCCATATATTTTATACTTATTTCAAACTCCATTCCTCTCCCCCTCCCTCTCAACATTTACTCTTGCAACTTTTCTCTTATGATAAAGATAACTTTTTCGCGTGATGAACGTCTTGGTTGGTTAACCTTTTGCCCTTCCAATTTGGGAACAACAATACGTGCTTCTGTACATATTAAATTACCAAAAATTAGTTTGAAAGAAAATTTTAAAAAAATTTGTGAAGAATTAAAATTACAAATTAGAGAAATTAACGGAGAACATACAGAAACCGAAGAAGAAAACAATGTTTTTGACATTTCTAATAAAAAACGTTTAGGAATAAATGAATTTGAGGCTGTTAAACAAATGTATGAGGGTGTTAAAAAATTAATTGAATTAGAAAAAGGAGAAGAAAAAGAAAAAGAAAGTAATTAAAAGAGATTTTAAGTTGAACTGAGTAATAGTAATGAACCTGAACAAGTTTTTGCTAATATAAAATTACATTGCATCCACAGCTAAATTTTTTCCTATTCTTGTAAATTGAACTTTTAACTAAAATTAAATGTAAATAAAATGCTTCCTTTGCAATTTTAATTTTATATTTTAATTATAATTATAAACCAGCTGAAGGGTGAGTAGCTGAATGGGTTCTATAGCTTAAAAATTTAGTTACGCCGGGGGAAGAATTTGGTTACATGATAGAGGCGCGTCCATGGACGCGCGTTGAAAGCCTGCGTCTTTAAAACTGTGCTAGGTTTATTTTTTCTTGGAGATTTACGTTAAAATTATTCAGTTGTACTTACATATTTGGTCTCTCCGTTGGCTCCGCCCAGACAGCCAACTTCTTATTTTCCATACATATATAGGAAAATGGGCCCTATCCCAAAATAAGGGCGGAAAAGTTTTTTTCATAATCTAAGGAAAGGAAAATGGAAGAGAAAAATGAAGAAAAATGAAGAGAAAAAGGAAACTGATGGACACCAGAGATGGGCGAAAATAGAATTTTGCCCTCAACGAAACAAAACGAAAAAAATAAAATCATCAATGTACGAAACGAAAACGAAACGAAAATCATAAAAATCCACAAACGAAACGAAAACGAAAAAAGTCTAAATAATGAAACTGTAAATTTTAATGCTAGATAAAAAGTTTTTTGAGGTTGTACATGTCTAAATGTATCAAATATTTGATCGAATTCAAATATTTGCCTCTAAATCTTCTGGTATTCCTGTAAATCCCTTGATATCCTCCTTGATCATTTGAAATATTCTGATATTCCCGATTTATGAGATAAGAAAGCCATTGGAGAAATTGAGAGGAGTCTATGGACATTATTAAGTGATTTAGGTGGCGATCAGTGCTGGGTATTGTGCAATAATCGGCTCCGGGCTTTAAAATCTTTGCCCTGGCTGTCCCTCTACCAGTAGATTTCTTCCTTTTCAGCGCCGCAGGCGAAAATTTTGAGAATTTTGCAAGACAATCCCACTAGATTTGTTCCTTTTCCTTTCAGTCCGAGTTATGTTGGATAGAGTTATGTTGGACAATTTATGACTCTTAATTAGAGGGGTAAAAATAATTTGAAAAAAAATTATAATCGTCATGGGAAACGCAAAGAGACCCTGTACATCGATTAGTCCAGATAGTGAAAGTGATAAAACACCATATTTATCACCAGAACAAATAGAACAAATTTCTCGAAATGTTGTTCAAATTTTAGCACCGATAATCGAGACAACAATCAAAACATTATTTGAACAATTTCATCAACAATTTAGCAATAACCATCCTCCATCCGAACCACGAAAAACAAACTCCCGATGGGGGTGTCCCCCCAATTTAATGCCTCCCAAAATTCAACAAGCAGCCAAAACGATTGAACTACTAAAACAACCTAAATTTGATAAAGAGCTTAAAGAGCTTTATGAGAAGAAAAGTTTCTACGCAGTAATTGAAAGACTTCCTGAAAATGAGGAAGAAGAAGAAGACATTAAAGCTATAAAGAAGAATGTTGAGATGATAGTTAATAACAAAAATTTTAATGATGCTAAAACTTTCGAAATAAAGAGGCACGGAACTAAGAAGCACAATAATTACCACCGAATCATCAAAGTTAAATTCTCAACTACAAAGCTGCACACACATTTATTAATCAATATAGAATGATACACCAACCAAAATTGGGTGGACATAGTCCTTTCGCAAGAAGGGACTTAACTCCACCCGAGCTACAACTACAGAATTACCTTAAACAACAAGTTAAGGATATTAATCAAAAATATGGAAATGGTACAGCTTCTTATCGTAATCTTAAAATTTATTATAAAAAGGAAGTGAACATGGACTAGGATTTAGGGACCTCACAGAAAGATAATCACACAAATAATAGAAATAATAAATTTAAACTGTTTACTTCTAAATATACGCTCCATTAATTCAGAAAAAACCTCAACTAAATTAGTCGAATTAGAAAATTATTTAATTAAAAGCAATATTCATATAGCGTTCTTATGTGAAACCTGGCTTACTGATAAGACATCTAACGAATCCCTTACTATATCTGATAATTATAGCTTTTTAAGAGTGGATAGAGTAAAAACTAGAGGATTATGCCCTACTCTTTTGGAGGTATTAAATATTTTGGTAATTTAAACAAAACTTTGCCGTTCGTTCAAAATAAAGTAGAAACGGTAATTTTCTATTTAACTTTGGTTTAAAATTATATTCAAAAATATAGACAACAATTTTGACAATTTTACCCATGGTTTTAATTAAAATATCTGCATATCTAATAATAATTATTTGTAGATTCAAAATGGTTAGATATATTAAATTAAACACTAATTTTGATGGAAATTTAAAAAGATTGAATAAACAATTAACAAAAGTTTTGATTATTTTGGTAAGAATATTTTTGTGTTCAAGTATAATATACCGTTGGTTTATTTATATTTAATTTTAGGCTATTCAGGCATTTATTAATCAAGCAGGAAGCTTATTTATTTTAATTTCTTCACAAACAAAAATATATATATATATATATTTAGTTACCTAATATATTTTTTTAATGATATGAGTAGTGATGGGATTCATATGGATTTCCATATTTTTTTCCTGGCCTAGTTGGGTCGTGAAACGCACGAAAAACGTTGTTTTAGCATATGTTGATAAGACTGATAATGAGTTATCAATCCATATTTTCCATATTTTATACATACAGTGAGGTGCAAAAGTTTGGAACATTTACTTTTAGATTGTTTAATCAATAATTTTTTATTCAAAATATAAGTTCAATATAGCAATCGAAAGCTCTATTCGTATCTCAGTTGACACACAACCCAACCACTTAACCATCGACAAACATTAATTAATTATTGTAGAGAGAAAATAAATATTTTCACTTCCCTTTTTTATTTTTCCCGCTTATTTTTTCCTTTCAAAAATAAAAATCGTATAAAAAGCCATTCTTAGGGGTGTAAAAATTTCCCGACTTAGTCGGGAATTGACACCGGGAGTCGGGATCGGGATCGGGAGGCCAAAAACTCGGGAAATTTTCCCGAGTCGGGAGTCGGGATCGGGATACCCGAACATCACTAGTATCTAGTCACTTTTTGATAGATAGAATAAGCATATCTTAACAGCATTTCAAACCTTGAGTTTGAAAAACTTATATCGAATAAAGCAACTTAATAATTCCATTTAAATATTTTTAAATATAACTAAAAACATGAAGTAAATAGCTTTTAGGCCAATTTGGAAAAGAGAGGAAACGAAAAGCACGCGATTTCGAACATGGTTGGGAGCAATGTGAAGTAAGATATTTTTAAAATAATACTGAAAAAAAGTGAATTTCAACAAAAATCTACTTAATGTTGTTTATCTATTTTATTTGTAATTTTAAAATTCTGAAAGATTAATTCGGCTGGGATGTAGCTAACTAGGTGCTTAATTTTTTGGAGGCTTGAACAGTGTTCATAGCTAGTTTTAGCGTTACGAAAGATCAAAATTGTTTTTCTATTGGAAGAGATACCAGAGATTAACGGCTATGGGGGTTAATAGGAATATACATAGGATTAGGATGGAAAGAGGGAGACGTAATCCTTCTATAACGACTTAATCCAACCTAATCCCTTTTTTATTCTCGATTCTCGTATGACACTGCCAGTACGTTTCCTAATTTTTTACATATTTTATGGGAAGTAATGTTATTTCTAAATTTATTTTTTTAAGTTTTCGCCAATTTCGTGCATGTTGAGACATAGAAGGCGGTAACAACGTTAATAATTAAATAAGAAATTTAAATTATATAAATTAAAGAAGAGAAAATTTAATTATCACAAAATATATTCAATATAAGCTTTTAAAAATTGTTTGTATGTATTATATTTTAATTTGACAGATTATTTAACAAATTTGAAAAGACAGCGAATAAATTTGAATTTATTTAATTGTCAATTTTGAATAATATGCATTTATACATTATTATTTCTTTAATGGTCTCAAGTTGAAACTTTTCTTTGTGATCGTACTTTAAATCTAAAATATTTATTTTTGCATGGCTGATTAATCAGTCAAATTAATTATTGAAATTGGCTTCTTATACAGATTACGGATCACATTTGATTCTCGAGGAAGCGCAAACCCTGTTTGGTTGTTAGTCTGATTTTTTGACTGTAACTTTTAAAATTGAGCATGTTCATAATAGTAAATTTTATTATATTTAGAGTTTATTATTAGTTCTTCGATTTTATTTAATTTTATGGGGACTAACATAATAATGGATGCACTTCTGTTTAGTATCTTTTTCAGATACCTATTCAAATTGTTAGAGTTGTCTAATTGTAATACCGAACAATTTCTAAGGCTTAAGAAAAGATGAACAACCAATGAAAAGACTTTAGTTAAGGCTCAATATCATGAGTTCTACTGCTTGTTATAGGGAGTTGCCTAAGCGATACTACATATTTAGGTCAACAGTAGTTAAACCGGCGTCCGTGTCGCGGGGGGCAGAGGGGTCCAACAAACGCCCAAGTCGTCAGTTAGTAGTAATGGAAACCCCCCAGTAGTCAACAAACACCCAAGTAGTCACACAAACACCCAAGTCGTCACCCACAAACGTCCCTGTCGTTAATACTCATTTTTTGTTATTTTGATATGGTAGTTGGGTAGATCGGAACCATAATGTTTTCGAGCTCTAATCGAGCTCGAACCCTGAGTTCGAGACATTGGAACATAAAATTTGTTCAAGTATAGGCATATAGGTACTCATTTTGATTGGCTCACCGAGCTGAAGCTCATTTCGTTAATTAAAATTAGGACATTTCACCGTATTACAATTCTCTGACAGGAAATAAAAATCTTAAATTGGTGGTCTAGTATCTAGTCCTAATAAACATTATTTTATCTCCCAACTATTTTTTTAAAACTATCTATAGTTC